CGGAGCCCTGGCCCAGGCTGCCCAGGGAGGCTGTGGAGTCTCCTTCTCTGGAGATATTCCAGCCCCGCCTGGACGTGGTGCTGTGCCCCCTGCTCTGGGTGACCCTGCTTGGGCAGGGGGTGGCACTGGGGGACCCCAGAGGGCCCTGCCAACCCCGACCATCGTGTGATTCTGCAAGCGAGTGCCTTGAGCTCAGTACCACCTCCGAGAACCTTCTCCAACTCTCCAAGCTCCACCACAACCCCTCGGTTTTGGCGGACACAGGCCACCCTCCCGCACCCATCCCACCACCGCCATCACTTGCGGAAACGCCGTGGGACGCTCCTCACCCCTCTGGATGTTCCTTCCCGTCCCCAGGTGGTTGCACAACTCTTCCTAAAACGGTTTCTGGGATGTTTCTCACCGTCTGTAGGGGAATCTGCTACGAGGAGGTCAGGGTCAGGCACGACGAACCCAACGTGCCGTATATCCCTGATTTTTTTTCCCCTACGAGATTTCAGACTTTCAAACCAGCCTTAAGTCGGCTCCTCAACGAAGCCAGAGAAAATACGAAGCCCAGATCTACTCCCCAAGTATTTGGTAACGTTCATGGCTCTCCTCAAGTCAGACCCCAAGAAAATCTTAAAAACCTCCTTTAAGAAAGGAAAAGAAAAAAAGGAACTATGTCTAAAAAGAGGAACTATGTCTAGACTGATGATATCCACAAAGAATTCTCCCGGGAGGGAAGGCAGCTGCGCCCGCGCCGCGCTCCTCGGCAGAAGCCCGACGCGCCTGAGCTCCCAGCGCGTCGATCCCGCCTGTCTTCCCGCAGAAGCCGATCTCGGCGGCCGTTCCTCTGAACGACCGTTCGAACCAGCGACGCCTGCGTTTCCGCGCTGGTCCAACGAGGACGTGGAACATTTCCCTTGGAAAAAAAAACCCTACAAATTTGGGAACTTTTCCTACCTTATTGTAGATGTAGCAGTTTGTAAACATCGTGTTAAAATCCTGGATACATTCTTGAGCGTTCCAGTAGTAGTTATTCTCCAAGCGTTTCTTTATTGTTCCCATATCCATCGGAGTTTTAATTATCTTATAATAATCCTACAGAAAGCAAAGAGGGAGACGTCAGCGGGGGGAACTAAAAGCTCAGCCAAGCACGTGTTTGCACCGGGGTTAAGAACCGGGATTCCTCCGTCCCATCCCCAGACCCACCTGGGTGGGATCTTCCAAGCCCAGCAGATACTCAGCCGCCAGACTCAGTCCCCAGCAGCCTCTCAGCCGGGATTTTTAATTAAAAAGGAGGATAAACTTTTGGTGGAGGAGTAATTTAACTCAGCCAAGTACGTGTCTGCACAGGGGTTAAGGACCAGGATTCCTCCGTCCCATCCCCAGACCCACCTGGGTGGGATCTTCCAAGCCCAGCAGATACTCAGCCGCCAGACTCAGTCCCCAGCAGCCTCTCAGCCGGGATTTTTAATTAAACAGGAGGATAAACCTTTGGTGGAGGAGTAATTTAACCCCAGAGGTACCCAAAATTGCCCGATTCTGGGTTTTCGGTTGGTCTTAAAGCCAAGTAATTCCTAAATCTTGTGGGGAAATGAATGATCCTTCGCAGGAGGTCGCTGGTCGAACGCTGTGACAGGAGGAGAAGCGGGGAAATCCGACTTACTACAACCCCTGAAACGCATCCGGATTAACTCAAAAGAAGGGGTTTCTATTTTTAGGGGGAAAAATAGAAAAATATAGGGCTTGAAGAGCCATTGCTATAGAACCGAGAGGGGGGGGAGGCCTGGAAGAGCCGTTGCTACAGAACCGGCGCTGTCCCCGTGCAACGGGGAGCTCGTTCCTGCCGTGAAGAAACGAAGCAGCCTAACGCTCGGGTAATGGATTACATATTTAGAGCTAAATCTTAAATTCAGAACTAAATCTTCAAGGTGAAACAGCCAAGGGAAGCGGAAACGTCTCTCTCGAGGGAGGGAGGGAACAAATCTCTCCCGGCGGGAGCCAGAAGGGTCTAAACCAGGCGTGCAGCAGAGGAGGTGTCGCTGCAATTACTGTAATTAACGATCTCTAAATGATTTCTGCCGGCTCCTGGGGTTTGACTCCGACTCCTCGTGGCGAGGGTGCCTGGGCGGAGGCAGGGAGCGGGCCACGGGAAGGGCTGTGCCGCAGGACACCGGCGAGCGGCGGCGCGGCCGTGCTTTCTGTGCTGATTTATAGATTCCTTTAGGCTGGAAATTACCTTTCAGACCATCGAGTCCAACCGTTCACCTCACGCTGCCAAGTCCACCGCTCACCCACGTCCCCAGGCACCACCTCCACAGGTCTCTTCCATCCCTGCAGGGATGGTGACGCTGCCCCGGGCAGCCCGTTCCCGTGTTGGACAACCCTTCCGGTGAAGAAATTTTCCCTAATGTCCAATCGGAACCTCCCCTGGAGCAACTTGAGGCCATCTCCTCTTGTGCTGTCACTTGCGAGAAGAGCCCGACATCCACCTCGCTACAACTTCCTTCCAGGTAGCTGTAGAGAGTGGCAAGATCTCCCCTCGTCCTCCTTTTCTCCAGACTAAACAATCTCAAGTTCCTTCCGCCACTCCTCCTAAGTTCTCCAGACCCGGCTCCCACGGTTCTCCAGACCCTTCTCCTTTCTCTCCAAATCCTACTCTTAAGTTCTCCAGACCCTGCTCCCAAGTTCTCCAAACCTGCTCCTAAATTCTCTAGGCCCTGCTCTCCAAACCCTGCTCCCAAGTTCTCCAGACCCTGCCCCTTGCTCTCCAGACCCTGCTCCCAAGTTCTCCAGACCCTGCCCCTTGCTCTCCAGACCTGCTCCTAAATTCTCTAGGCCCTGCTCTCCAAACCC